GACTTCCGTAGTAAGTTCGTTCTAATTAGTCAATATTAGCCGGGTAATTGATAGGTCCAAGATTTACTATCTCACAACACCTTCATCGTATGGTGACAATTATTACTGTTTTTATACAACGATTGAAGAAAAATCCACACTAGAGTAAAACCATATAAAAAAATACTACTATTTTAGCCCATCTGGTATTTTAATTCTTTAAAAAGAGGTTTATTTCTTTCTTTTCAACACCACTTTACATGTTTCTGAGCGATGTGTTTTAATATATAGTGTAAATGCTTAATAATTTTCCTACTAGGTAAAAAATGTTTGATATTTCACAGGTTACTATTTTTATTATGCCATCATTATATAAAAAAACCAATTTTGGACAAGAATCCAGCGAATCATTTTTTTGTGGTATCACCCATAACCCATACTGATATAATAAATTTGATATTTACCTTTTGGTCAGTCAGTCTAATTTCGTCACATCTTGTCAAGTATGACAAGTCAAAGGCAGTGCAACTTTTTTTTCTCATGTTTATATTAATAAATGTGCCATTATAAGTGTTTAAATGTAATAATTTATTTACAGTTGCACCTGTCTATTTGCATACTGTTGGGACTGATAAGTTTTTATGCAAATAGACAGAATATGCATATTCATGTTATTGTATGGTTGCTGTTACATACAATCACGTGACATGAATGTTGTTTTGTGTCATTCGCATCATGGTTTTAATCAATTCATTAATTTTAATAGCTTAATCATAAATTTTTGAATTTTACTCAGTTTTATACAAACATCATATATTTTGTTATCCTTTACATTTACAATGAAGAAAGTCACATTAAACAATCAACAACGTTATCAAATCTGTTTAACAAAGCAAGATGACCCAAGAATAACCCAAAAAGAATTAATTAATTGGTGTGAACAAGAATTTGGTATAAAATTTGATCATGCAACTATTTCCAGAACATTAAAGCGCTCATATGAGTATTTGGATAATGAAACAAACTTACTACAAAATCCACTACA